GGAGCAAGGCATGCAAAGCAAAACTTCATGCTTCACCAAAGGGGTCAAAATGCAATATCCCAACAAATCTTCATTCCGGAAAGAAAGGATCTAAACTTAAAGTGAAGTCCAAAACTAACTATGAAGTTGTGCTATTTGCTAAAGAATTTGCTTATGCACCAAAAACTCCTTATGGAGAGTGCTCTAAGCCTATGCCAAGTCCTACTCCTTACTACTACAAATCTCCACCACCTCCAACACCTACTTATGTTTACAAATCTCCCCCACCCCCGACACCGACTTACGTTTATAAGTCGCCGCCACCACCAACTTACATTTACAAATCTCCACCTCCCCCTCCTTACGTGTACAAATCTCCACCACCACCACCACCGACCTATATTTACAAATCCCCACCACCTCCTCCTTACGTCTACAAATCTCCTCCACCACCATCACCAACACCAGTTTACGTATACAAATCCCCACCCCCTCCACCTTACGTCTACAAGTCTCCACCGCCACCAACACCAGTTTATGTATACAAATCCCCACCTCCTCCACCTTACATCTACAAGTCTCCACAGCCACCGACACCAGTTTACGTATACAAATCCCCACCTCCTCCACCTTACGTTTATAAGTCTCCACCACCACCAACACCCGTTTACGTATACAAATCCCCACCTCCTCCACCTTACGTTTATAAGTCTCCACCACCACCAACACCAGTTTACGTATACAAATCCCCACCTCCTCCTCCTTACGTCTACAAGTCCCCACCGCCGCCACCATACGTCTACTCATCACCTCCACCACCAGTAAAGTCACCACCACCACCGTACGTGTATTCATCACCTCCACCACCCGTGAAGTCACCGCCACCACCGTATGTGTACTCATCACCTCCACCACCTGTAAAGTCACCGCCACCACCATATGTGTACTCATCACCTCCACCACCTGTGAAGTCACCTCCACCACCATACGTCTACTCATCACCTCCACCACCCGTAAAATTACCGCCACCACCATACGTGTACTCATCACCTCCACCACCCGTGAAGTCACCACCAGCACCGTATGTGTACTCATCACCTCCACCACGGGTGAAGCCACCACCACCACCATACGTGTACTCATCACCTCCACCACCGGTAAAGTCACCGCCACCACCATACGTGTACTCATCACCTCCCCCACCCGTGAAGTCACCGCCACCACCGTATGTGTACTCATCACCTCCACCACCCGTGAAGTCACCGCCACCACCTTATGTGTACTCATCACCTCCACCACCTGTAAAGTCACCGCCACCACCATATGTGTACTCATCACCTCCACCACCTGTGAAGTCACCACCACCACCATACGTCTACTCATCACCTCCACCACCCGTAAAATCACCGCCACCACCATATGTCTACTCATCACCTCCACCACCCGTAAAATCTCCGCCACCACCATACGTCTACTCATCACCTCCACCACCCGTAAAGTCACCTCCACCACCGGCATACATCTACGCTTCCCCACCTCCTCCAACCCATTATTAAGCTCTGAAAAATGTAAGTCGTTATCTAAATTAATCATCCACATACATTTTATCACCCATCCACATACACTTTATTAGTCCATCTTCTGATTTTTAATTGTTCAATTTGCAGCAGTGAGTCTAGGATTCCGAATAAAAGAAGGCTTCCGCTACCAACTTCTTAGAGCAACTATTTTATTCATGAATAAGGTTCTTCAAGCATTAAAAAGCATCAGAGTTTGCGTGTTGGACCAGTTTTCATCTACCTCTGTTGCTGTTATCCTCCATATTTTCGTTGCTATATCTTCAAGTACTGGAAGTGGCTCAAAGATACAATACTATCTCTTTGCACAAAGAAGATTTTAGACGGTGAAAAGTAACTGCATCCAGGGGCAGTGTTTGTTCTTACATTATTGTACAGTGGATGGCTGTGTTTGGTTGAAATTTATATTCATTACCATTCTTTCTTTCTTCTCTTGTGCTCTCTCAACTCAATGTTTCTAATAAAAGCAATTGATTTTTTCTCACACATCTCCTTATATTACTTTGGTTTCTCTTTTATGCGCGCGCGCGTGTGTGTATATATATATATATATATATATATATATATATATATATATATATATATATATATATATATATATATATATATATATATATATATATATATATATATATATATATATATATATATATACATATATTCGCCCCATTATCGACCCATTGTCATCCCCAAATTGACCGACCCGTTGCCATCCCTAAATTGAATCTCAATTTGACCTCCAATTTCACAAATTATTCAATTTTGACCCCTGGCCTAGTTTTGACTCCCATTTCGATCATCGTCGGTTCGCCGAAACGGAACAGTGCATTGTCGCGAACACTGCTGTTCCAGTTTTGTTGCAACGTTGCAGCTGCATCGCGGCCGGAACGGACACATTTTAATTAAATTGCAAAACAAAATACTATATATTTCAAATATGTTTTTAATAACAAAATTACAATTCAATAATATGCAAAATATCATACAATTTCAAAAGTAAATATTACAAAGAACATTATGAAAATACAAGCAATATTAATACCACGTAGAATACTAAGTTGGAATTGTGTAAGCTATGATTGAAGAGGGAGGCCAAACATCCGTGATTCAGGAGAATCTCCATTCTTTACCGTGGCCACCACTATCTTATTATTTTGTTTATTTTTTTTTCTTTTATGGTTTTTTTCCTTATTTTCTTAGTTAAATTTGTTTTTTTCTTCAATTTTTTTTCCTGTTCCGGCGCGGTTCCGACCCCATTGCTGCCGTTCCATGGCTCCGTCTCGCCCATCCCACCGTTTTCTCGGCGTTCCGGTGAATCAGGGTGAAATATCGTTCTGGTTACGGATTCCGGAACGGAGGGCATCGTTCCCGTTCCGACGCCGCTCGCTATGGAAAATTTCGGAAAAAAAAAAAACTCATTCCGATTCCGAAAATTCCGGTCGGAATTCCGGAATTGGCGGCGTCTTGGCAGTTTGTGGCGATTTTATTGCATTTTCACCACAAAGCAATACGACGTGACAATTTTATGAGAGCTGCTCCGAAAAGACATCTTTAGAATCTTCAAAATGGTTGTGAAAGGGTAGATCGACAGATGTCAACAAGAAAATAAACCACTGGAAGAAGAATTTTTGATAGAGACAAAAGAGACAATGTTGTAGCGAAGAAGAGTTGGGTGGTGGAAAGAGAAACAAAAGTTCAGAGGAGATGTGAGCGGAGCAAGAAGAATAAGGAAGAAATTAGATTTTTATTAGAAGTTTGTGGTATTTACTGTTTAGTCCTTAAAATTCTGAATATTTTATATTTGGACTCATTAGTTTGCTAAAGTGGGCTGCCTTGCTAAAGTGGGCTTCTTAAAGCCTCACTGGAAACAATATATAGTAATGAAGAAATGTTAATAATTTTCGAAAAATTTCAGAAATATTATCGGAAATTTTGGAATTATTTTCGGATCGAAATTCGAAAATTCTGAATAATTCATATACAATTCCGATTCCGATCCGATTTTTACGGTAAAAATCAGAAATCGGAATTTCGGAATTCGGACTACAAAAAATCGTTCCAAAATTGGAAAAACTCGGATCGGATTCGGCGGAAATCGAAAATTGCGTTCCCATTTCCACCCCTAGTCGCCGCCGTTAACCGCCAGTCTCCAACGTTGCCTCTTTTTTTTTTTTTATTCCACCATCGGTCAACGCCAGTCCCCAGCGGTCAACGCCGGTCTCGGCGGAGTTGTCCTTTGTTTTTTAATTGTTTTCTCCTGAGTATTTTTTGGTTCGTTAAGCAGTAATACTACTGTGGTTGACAATAATATTAAGTAATATATATTACTGTTTAACACAGTAATATTGTTATTGTTGGGAATCAGGCACGTCCATGCAGCGTAAAACAAAAATTTTATATGAAAAACACGATTTAATTCATATAAGCACATGCCCGACACATTAAGCAATTAATTACGCACCTTAATGCTTCCAGCGAAAATTAAAACAACATGCATATTAATTCGATAATTAAAAACACATAGCATGCTCGCACCGAAACGTAATATACATACATATAATTTCATGAAAAACGATCAAGTAAAACATACAAAATCAATTTCATGAAAAACATATAACGTGCAATTTAATCTAATTAAATTAAACCTTATATGATATATCTAACGGATCCGAAAGATTACCTCTTGAGGCGTGAGGCGAACTATCGGATCGAAGCAAACTGCCACATTAACCAATCCGTGCAGTTGGGAGGAGCAGCGGCGACGGACGCGCTGGTCAACGGCGGCACGTGAGATTCACGCGCTGTCTTCGGGCGGCGCGTGGAGGCGCGAGCGGCGGTGATTCGGCGACGGCTTCTCGGCAATTCGACTCCTTGGTCTTCCTCTTCTCGGATTTCACCTCGTATACTGAGATCTACAAAATACGTGGCACTAGACACACAAAAGTTAGAATAGACGAAAGAAAAAGATAAAAGGAAAGAAACTACCAAAAGCGATCGGCGCGTGAGGCCGATTCCGGCGACGAACAACGGTGGTGGCGACGGTCGTGAGTGAGAGTGGCCGTGGGTTGTGAGATTCGAGAGGCTAGGTTTTTGATTATGTGTTATGTTGTGTGCAAGACCTATAAATCTTGTATTTATAATGTCTTGTATAAAAGCCCTAACGGGCTTAAGTTGGACCGGACCCAACAGCTTAAGTTCGTTAGTCTTTATTCGCTCGTTTCTCCAACTCAAAGATCGGAAAATTATAGCGATTATATTTTCGGAGTCACTGAAACGTCCTCGTCATTACGAGTGTCAATTCTCGATTTCCAATTTCTAAAAGTGGAAACCTTAATTCAGTGGACCTTCTAAGTTTGGAAACTTCATAATTTAGAAAGTTCACTAAGATGTTCGCCTAGTTCTTTTCCTTTCCTTATTCTCATTCATAATTCCAAATTACGAATGTTGGACTCAATCATATTGACTTCCAATTATGCAAAGATTAAACATTTTTATCTTTGACCATTTAACTCGAGTGCACGAGCAGTGTGACCCTCGATGGTTCAGGTGTAAGCTAGCCGTGGGTCCACAACCCTTTGTGGTTCAAACTCGTCCCTAGAGTTACGATTAAGATGAAGCTCGTTTCAACTTAATCACCCAACGAATCAAAATTGACATCTAGCAACTACGCGTCATGATTCCCTAGATACAAATGAAGTGCCTGCAAGAACCTTTTGATATAGTTAACGTACAGTACGATCCCTTCGATGCATATGTTCCGATTGAACTAGAGCCATTGGTTCATCGAGACCTCCTTAGTAGTTCAATAATTGTGTGATCGTTCTAAGTGTTAATCGAACTGCACGAACACTGGCCCTTGGGGCGGTCCTCGGTGGCACTCAGGGACATGTCATGATACAGCTGGTCCTCTAGTGAAGTCACGGTGATATCTAGGTCTTAAGGACTAATGGTGTACAACTATACCATAGAGATCTCTACTCGATTATTGAGAACCACTTAGAGAGTTCTAGGATGAGGGGGTTCAGTGAACTCGTCAACTTACGAGCACCCACTTATGCATGCCGATATCACAATACCGTTTACTAATGACACGCAGTAGACATACACTAAGTGCTAGTCTCTTAATGGGAAAGACCGATATCCTCATTGGTGGCGTAACCCTTCGACTAGGAACACGTTTAACAGTTATAATACTTAAGTAAATATCTCACAATCCTAAAAGATCAATTACAAGTACTTGCAATAACTGTAAGGACTATATCTATGTTTGAATAAGGGATAAAGATATAAAATGCCAAGGTGTTTTATCATTAATACGAAAAATGATTATTTATTACAAGAATAAATGGATAGACCACAGCCACAGTTTGGCTTATTGGTCACCTACTCTAACAGTTATATTACTCTCTAGCACAGTAATTAATACAACAAAAATCACTACTCTTGTGTAATACAATAATATTAATATGTCGATCGTTCAAAAAAAAGGCAAACATAAAAAGAAGCCAAAAAAATTAATGTTGATGTGGTTGACAGTAATATTACTCTCAACCATAGTAATGTAATATTACTGTAACGACAGTAATATTACTATCAACCGCAATAATATTACTGTCAACTGCAGTAATATTATTGTGTGTACAGTAACATTACAATAATAGACAGTAATATTAATATAATAGAAAGTAATATTGTTACATTGACCGGTCAATAAATCAAACAAAATAAAAAAGCCAAAAATAATAATAATATTGATTTGGTTGACAGTAATATTATTGTGTTTACAGTAATTGCACTGTCAAGGACAGTACAATTACTGTCAGCTGACAGTACAATAACTGTAAAAAACATTACAATTATTGTCAACGTTCAGCGACGAGCGAAAAAAAGAAAGCAAGCAATTTTAACCCTGTCGCCCGCGTGGCCACCACGCGCCTATGCCATCTGCCGCACGTGGGTTACACCCCAGACCTTAAAAC